GAGGCAGGAGAATTGCCTGATCCCAGGAGGCGGAGATTGCGGTGAGCCGAGATCGCGCCATTGCACTCCAGCCTGTGTAACAAGAGCGAAACTCCATCTTAAAAAAAAAAGAGAGAGACTTGCATTCATGGGAAGGCAATCTTTGCTCTTAGAGAGGAAGAATCAGCTTTGGAAAGCTGCTGAGCCTGCTAACTTTAACTAAACCCGTGCAATCCCAATTAAAATACCGACGCAAAATTTTGGGGGATTTGGGAAAATGGTGCCAAAGTTCATCAAAGGATGTGAATGAAGGAAAATTCTAGAAATAAAAGATAACGAGGGGGCCAGACATGGTGGCTCACACCAGTAATCCCAGCACTTTGGCAGGCTGAGGTGGGAGGATTGCTTGAGGCCAGGAATTCCAGAACAGCCTGTTCGACGTAGCAAGACCCCATCTCAACAAAAAATTTGAAAAAATTAGGCCAGGCATGATGCCTCACACCTGAAATCCCATCACTTTGGGAGGCCAAGGTGGGTGGATCACTTGAGGCCAGGAGTTTGAGACCAGCCTGGCCTACATGGCAAAACCCTGTCTCTACCAAGAATACAAAGAAGTTTCAGCCGGGCTCAGTAGCAGGCACCTGTAATCCCAGCTACTTGGGAGATTGAGGCACGAGAATTGCTTGAACCCAGGAGGTGGCAGCTGCGATGAACAGAGATCGCTCCACTGCACTCCAACCTGGGCTACAGAGCGAGACTCTGAAAAAGAAAAATCAGCCAGACACGATGGCATGCACCTGTAGTCCCATCCTAGCTACTCTGAAGGCTGAAGTGACGGACGGCTTGATCCCAGGAGGTGGAGGCTGCCGTGAGCTCTGATTGCACCCTTGCACTCCAGCCTGGCTGGCAGAGTGAAACCCCATCTCTAAAAAAAGAATTATATATATATTGTGTATATATATGTATGTATATGTACACACACATGCTATATATGTATTTCAATTTTTTACTTGGTTTTATTTATTAATTTATTTTGAGACAGAGTCTTGCTCTGTCGCCCGGGCTGGAGTGCAGTGGAGCGATCTCTGTTCATCAGGTTCAAGCTATTCTTGTGCCTCAGCCTCCTGAGTAGCTGGAATTACAGGCATGTGTCACTAAGCCCAGCTAACTTTTGTATTTTTAGTAGAGACAGGGTTTCACCATGTTGGCCAGGCTGGTCTTAAACTCCTGGCCTCAAGTGATCGGCCTGCCTTGGCCTCCCAAAGTGCTGGGATTACAGGCATGAGCCACTGTGCCTGGCCTATTGTACTATTAATTATTGTCATTAATCTCTTACTGTGCCTAAATTATAAATTAAATTTTATCGTAGAAAAAAACTTTCGACACAGGGTTCAGTGTTATCTCAGGACTCAGGCGTCCACTAGGGGTCTTGAAATGTATCCCCCGTGGATAAGGAAGGACCCCACCGCTCTGCCAGAATTCAAAATAACCCCATCGCTCTGCCGTGTGGTATGTAAATGTCTGACAGTGCTTTGATGACCTCATGCTTTCTACTGTTTGCTTTTGCAAACCATTAATCACCAAATATTTTTCAAAATTTGCAAGAGGAGAACAGGAGTCGCGGGTGAGTGAGGGAGGGGCGGGACTCACTTTCATTAAATAGGCCTTTCTGTTCTTTCTGTTTCTCTTGGATTTTGTGAAGCTCAGACTCCAGCATCTGACAACTCAGGTTCTAATTCGGGCTTGGTTACTCCCTCCCTGTGTCCCTGTGTCCCTATGTGACCCGGAACAAGTTACTTTACTTCTCTGTGCCTCAGTTTCCGCATTTGAAAAGTGGATGTAATATTGGTTCTGACTCCAGAGGTGGATGTGGGGATTCAATGAGCTGAAATGTCAAACAGTTAGAAAACTGCCCTGCATGAGGTTCAGTCTTAATAAATATTAGCTCTTTTTATGATCAAGATCTGTCATGGGGCCGGACACGGTGGAACATACCTGAAATTCCAGCACTTTGGGAGGTTGAGGTGGGAGGATCACTTGAGCCCAGGAGTTCGAGACCAGCCTGGGCAACGTAGGGAGACCCTGTCTCTACAAATGAAAAAAAAAACTAGCTGGGCATGGTAGTACATGCTGGTGGTCCCAGCTACTCGGGAGGCTAAGGTGGGAGGATTGCTGGAGCCTGGGAGGTCAAGGTTGACTGATCTGCGATTGTGCCCCCACACTCCAGCCTGGGCGACAGAGCCAGACCTTGTCTCAAAAGAAAAATACGATCTGACATGGGTTGAACTGTGTTCCCCAAAAAGACGTGCTGAAGCCCCAACCTCAGAATGTGACTCCATTTGGAAGTAGGGTGATTGCAGATGAGCTGAGATGACGTCCTGCTGGAGTAGGTTAGCTCCAAATGCAACAGGACTGGTGTCCTTGTAAGAGCGGAGCCATCCTGTAGACACACATGTACACGGGAAAGACGGGGTCAGACGTGGGGGAAGTTGGCTTCATGACTGCATAGGCATCTGCAAGCCAAGGATCCCAAGGGTTTCGGGCAGCCCCTGAGGCTGGAAGCAACAGGGAATGAGCCTCAGAGGGAGCGCAGCCCTGCAGACAGCTCCGTGTCACACTTCTGGCCTCTGGAGCTTCCAGGGAGTAAACTTTCTGTTTATTTATTTATTTGTATTTTTTGAGACAAGGTCTCACTCTGTCACCCAGGCTGGAATGCAGTGGCACAATCTCGGCTCACTGCAGCCTCAATTTCCCTGCACCCTGGGTTGGGTGATCCTCCCACCTCAGCCTCCCAAGTAGCTGGGAGTACAGCCATGTACCTCCACACCCGGGTAAATTTTGTATTTTTTGTAGAGATAGGGTATCACTTTGTTGCCCAGGCTGCCCTTGAACTCCTGGACTCAAATGATTCTCCTGCCTCAGCTTCCCCAAGTCCTGGGATTGCAGGCATGAGCCACTGTGCCCGGCTTTCTGTTGCTTTCAGCGCCCAGGTTGTGGTGCTTTGTATGGCAACCCTAGCAAACCAACACTATATCTATTCACAATTATTTGATAAATTAAAACAAAAACAATTCTTGAAAGCATCTCTTCTCCCTTCCTTCCTGTGCCTGGGGGTGGGTGGGGAGTGTGTGTCGAGCACCCCGGCGGAGACCAGGCAGTTGCAGTTGGCCTGCGAAGGTGTTTGGACTTTGTCCTGCAGGCCATGAGAGGCCACTGGAGCGTCTATGCTGGGGAGTGACAGTTTCCGAGGTGTTTTAGGAAGCTCAGCCTACCTGCGGGTGGCAGGGGAAGGGAGGAGGGGAGAGGGTTCTGGCTAGTCAGTGGACTGGAGCTGTCATCCAGGCAGGAGATGGTGTGGCCTGGAACAGCCGTTCTCAAAGTGTGTTCCCCAGACCAGCAGCGCCAGGGTCCCCGGGAAACTTGCTGAAAATGCAGTTATCAGGCTCACCCAGCCCTACTGAATCAGGCACTCCAGGGGCGGGGCTGGCCATCTGGGTTTCACAAACCCTCCAGGTGGTTCTGCTGTTTGCTCAAGCTCAAGAATGGCGGCTAAATGAACAGGGTGGAGAGGGTATGTCAATCCCTTGGGGCTACGGGACAGAGTGCCACAACTGTGTGGCTTAGAACAACAGAAATGTTTTTTCTACCTTTCTGGAGGCAGAGATCAGAAATGAAGGCGTCAGCAGAGTCCTCTGAAGCCTGGGGTGTGGGGAGCCTTCTTTGCCTCCTCTGACCTCTGGTGGCTGCCGGCAGTCCTCGGCATTTCTTGACTGGCAGACACAGCACTGCCGTCTCTGCCTCCACAGGCACATGCCATTCTATATGTGCCTCTGTGAAAAGATGTCCGTCTTCTTTTTTTTTGAGAGAGAGTTTCGCTCTTGTTGCCCAGGCTGTGGTGCAGTGTCATGATCTCAGCTCACTGCAACCTCTGCCTCCTGGGTTCAAGTGATTCTCCTGCCTTAACCTCTCGAGTATCTGGGATTACAGGTGCCGGCCACCACGATCAGGTAATTTTTTGTATTTTTAGTAGAGATGGGGTTTCACCATGTTGAGTAGGCTGGTCTCAAACTAGTGATCCTCCCGCCTCGGCTTCTCAAAGTGCTGGGATTACAGGCATGAGCCACTGTGCCCGGCCAATGTCCCTGTTCTCATAAGGACAGCAGTCCTATTGGATTAGGTCCACCCGAATCCTGCAGACTCTACTCTGCATTTAATGCCATATGCAAGGACCCTGTTTCCAAATAAGGCTGATTCACAGGGACTGGGGCCTGGGATTTGGACATATCTTTTTTGGAGGGGACCCAATTCTACCCACCTCTGATGGGGAGAAGTGAAAGGTTGCAACGAATCTCAAAACAAGAGAAATGTTAGTGATTAGGTGGGGGGAGTGGAAGCAGAATGAAAAGAGAAAGAATTCAAATGCCCTGCTATTGTGCATAAATAACGAAGCTGGCGTAACCCTGGTGTCCTTTTTCTCGAAGAGGGACATCCTCAGGCTAGTATTTCAGGAAGTTTATCCTAAGTTCTTGCTACTGGTAAACACATTGCTGAAATAAACTCCTTCTCACCTGACGACCTCTCGCTCTCTTCCCTGTGGGGCGGGGCTGGGGAGGGAGGATGGAGCAAGGCCCCCTCTGCACCCAGGCATGGAGACAGTGTGAGATCCTGCTAAGCTGAAGGAAACACTTTAGAGCTTCAAGTTCAAGGTCCCAGGATCTGGGCATCTGAAGCTGCTCCAGCTCTCAGCTGCCCCGAGGGAAAAGATGGTCTCAGAGAGATAGTCTTAGGACCTGTCTCGGTGACGAGCCAGGCAGCCCGTAAGTGTGGGAGCACCTCCTTCTAACACCAGGCATGGCTGAAAGCACTTGACCTTCTGGAAGATTCTGTTCCATGCATCACTCAACAGTAAGTCAGAAGCTCATAGAGGGTTTGTGGAAATGCAGATTCCTGGGCTTTACTCCCCAGTGTCCGAGTCACAGGTCTGGGGTGAGGACTCAGACTCTGCTTTCCTTTCTTCCTTTTTTTTTTTTTTGAGACAGGCTCTTGCTCTGTTGCTCAAGCTGGAAGGCAGTGGTGTGCACATGGCTCACTGCAGCCTTGACCTCTCAGGATCAAGGTATCCTCCCACTTCAGTGGCTGTAGGCACTTGCCACCATGCCTGGCTAATTAAAAAAAGGTTTTTGTAGAGATGGGATCTCACTATTGTTGTCCAGGTTGGTCTCAAACTCCTGGGCTTGAGTTATTCTCCAGACTTGGCCTCCCAAAGTGCTGGGATTACAGGTGCAAGCCATCACTCCCGGCCAGAGAACCTGCATTTCTATCACATTTCCAGGTGGCTGGTGCTCTGGAGAACACCTGGAGGAGAACCAAGGCCACGGTGACCGGCTCTCAGCCTGGTGTGCTCACGAGGGTCACACAGGGAGTTTCAACATACACCAACCCCTGTGCCCGACGAAGACCCTGGGAGACCGCCAAGGGCAGGCCCCCAGGGCATTCTAGTCACTGGCTGAAGTGGGGGTACACAGCCCAACTCCTTCTCACCCATCAATGCCACTTCAGATATCACTCCTTCAGTAAGCCTTTCCTGACTTCCTTCAGTGGGATTAGGCCCCTCATTCATTCATTCATTCATTCCACAAACCATCATGCTCCTGTGTGCGCTGGGCCCTGTGCGGTGCTGGAGGTTCAGCTGTGAGGCCAGGTAAGGGTTTTGCCCTTGTGGTGTTTCTCTACAGAAACATGGAGAAAACAAGTGGTGAACAGTCAGGACAGACAATGTCAGGGTGTGACGAAAATAAAACAGGACGACGACAAAAAGAGCATTATTTAATTAATTCCTTAATTAACTGGAGACAGGGTCTCACTCTATTGGCCAGGCTGGAGTGCAGTGGCACAATCATGGCTCACTGCAGCCTTGAACTCCCAGACTCAAGCAATCCTCCCACCTCAGCCTCTAGAGCAGCTGGGACTACAGACACACCTACCATGCCCAGTTAATTTTTTTTTTTTGAGACAGAGTCCCGCTTTGTCACCCAGGCTGGAGTGCAGTGGTGCCATATCGGCTCATTGCAACCTCTGCCTCCTGGGTTCAAGTGATCTCCTGCCTCAGCCTCCCCAGTAGCTGGGATTACAGGTGCACACCACACCTGGCTAATTTTTGTGTTTTTAGTAGAGATGGGTTTTACCATGTTGGCCAGGATGGTCTTGATCTCATGTGATCCATCTGCCTCGGCCTTGCAAAATGCTGGGATCACAGGTGTGAGCCACTGCTCCAGGGAAGAGTGTCACTTCAGATAGGCTGGTTGAGGAAGGCCTCTTTGAGGAGATGACGCTGGAGCTGTACCTCAAAAAAGCTTCCATGGAGGCCCCCCAATTTTTTTTAGACGGAGTCTCACTCTGTCACCAGGCTGGAGTGCAGTGGTGCGATCTCAGCTCACTGCAACCTCCACCTCTTGGGTTCAAGCAATTCTCCTGTCTTAGCTTCCAAGTAGCTGGGATTACAGGCACGCCCCACCATGCCCAGCTAAATTTTGTATTTTTTGTAGAGACGGGGTTTCACCATGTTGGCCAGGATGGTCTTGATCTCTTGACCTCATGATCTGCCCGCCTTGGCCTCCCAAAATGCTGGGATTATAGGTGTGAGCCACTGCGCCTGGACCTATGGGACCTTTTTAAGCAAGAAGAGCATTTGAAGCAAGGAGCAGAGCCTGTGCCGAGGTCCTGCGGTGGGCACGGGCTGACTGCATGGGAAGGTCTGAAGGAAGCCAGGGTGGCTGCATCCCAGGGAGCCGAGAGGGAGGTGGAGGAGGGCAGCCCAGGGGAGGACCTGGAGTTTGTGCCTTGCAACAGGAAACCCAGGGAGGGTTGAAGCAGGGAGTAACACAATCCCTCTTGCTTTGAAAAAGGTCCACTCTGTGGCCCCTGTAATGCGCCCTTGCCGAGATGGATTCATCTCCCTGAGAGCGTTTTTCTCAGGTGTCACTGCAGACTCATTGGTGTGAGAGGAATATCTTTGTCCCACTGGTGTATGATCTTTATGAGAAGGTGATGCATGTGCCCCCGTGCTCATAGGAAACAGTCAGCACGGTCTGACAGAGCCGGCTGTGGCCGTGTGTGCCTGCTGTCTCAGCTCCTAGGGAGGCTGAGGGAGGGTCACTTGAGTCCAGGAATTTGAGGCTGCAGTGAGCTATGATCACACTGCTGTGCTCTAGCCTGGGTGACACAGTAAGACCTTGTCTCTGAAAAGAAGTCTGACAAATGACCCCATGGGTGTGTATCCAGTGGTCCTCTTTGGCACTGCCCCATCCCTGCCCAAACAGGAACCTCAGCCACCACCAGATGTGCCCAGAAAGGTATCGCTGCCCATTGTTTTCCAAAGAATGTTTTTGTTTTTTTCTTCTCTCTCTCTCTTTTTTTTTCTGAGGCTGAGTCTCACTCTGTCTCTCGGGCTGGAATGCAGTGGCGCAATCTTGGCTCACTGGGTTCAAGGAATTCTCTTGCCTCAGCCTCCGAAGTAGCTGGGATTACAGGTGACCAGCATCATGCCTGGCTAATTTTTCTATTTTAATTAGAGACGGGGTTTCACCATGTCGGCCAGGCTAGTCTCCAACTCCTGACCTAAGGTGATCCAGCTGCCTTGGCCTCCCAATATGCTGGGATTACAGGCATGAACTACCATACCCGGCCCTTTTTTTTCTTGTTTGAGATAGAGTTTCGCTCTGCTACACAGGCTGGCCTACAGTGGTGTGATCATGACACATTGCAGCCTTAACTTCCTGGGCTCAAGCAATCCTCCCACCTCAGCCTCCGGAGCAGCTGGGACTACGGGCACGATAGGTGCCATACCCAGCTAATTTTTGTCTGTAGAGACAGGATTTCGCCAGGTTGCCCAAGCTGGTCTTGAACTCCTGAGCTCAAGCAATCCTCCCGCCTCGGCCTTCCGAAGCGTTGGGGTTACAGGCATGAGCTACTGTGCCTGGCCCAAAGAATATTTTTGGAACCTGCTTCTCCATGGGTGCCAGTCATGGCTGCAGCCTGTGAACAGTTCCCCTCAGGAGAGAAACTGGCAGCTTTGCAGGTCTGCGTTGAAGGGCAAGGGCATCTCCTGATCTCCAGCGTTCTTGGTGCCCACACTGGTTTCTGGAAGGCGCCTCCTGCCTGGCTGCATGGCAGCTGGCCTCTCGGATGCTCAGGAGGGCATCCCTGGGCCTCAGTGGGCCCTGGGCAGAGCGGGCGGGTGTTGGAGAGGAGGGGCCTGTGGCAAGAGCTGGGGTTTTCTGGGCAGGAAGGAAAATGCTGCTCCCGAGGAAAACTGGAAGACAGATGAGGACTCGCCGCACACGGAGCCGCTGGGTCAGGCTGAAGCTGGAAAACTTGGCTTTCACTTAAAAAGCCTGTGTGCTTCCGGCGCACGTGTGCTGAGAGGTGAGGCGGTTCTCCTGAGTTAGGAAGGGAAGTTCGAAAACTCATCTTCGATACCAACAAAGCAGCTCTTAGACACTGGGCCCGGGAACAAAAACCTGAAGAAAGTGGCAGAGGCCGGGTGTGGTGGCTCACGCCTGGAATCCCAGCACTTTGGGAGGCCGAGGCAGGAGGATCATAAGGTCAGAAGTTCAAGACCAGCCTGGCCAAGATGGTGAAACCCTGTCTCTACTAAAAATACAAAAATTAGCCAGGCGTGGAGACAGGCGCCTGTAGTCCCAGCTACCTGGGAGGCTGAGGCAGGAAACTGCTTGAACCCAGGAGGCAGAGGTTGCAGTGAACCAAGATCTTGCCACTGCACTCCACGTTGGGCCACGGGGCGAGACTCTGTCTCAAAAAAAAAAAAAAACAGAACGGACCGATCCAAGATGGCTGATCACTAACAGCTCAGGATTGTAGCTCCCAGTGAAAGTTCAGAGAACAAGACGACGCCACACTTTTAGATGAATTTTCGTCACTCACGGATCAGCCGATTCCCAGTAGAGGAGCCCCACGGGTCGCCAGCGCGACTCTTGTGGCCGCCGCAGCGGTTTTGCCGGCGTCTCGGCGCAGCAGCTCTTCATGCAGAGCAAATGGGACTGCTTCCCCTACTGACCGGAGTTTGGAGCTCCGGGAAGTCAGAGCCGCTTGTAGCGGACTCAAGAGGGAAGCCGGACCAGAGATTCCCGGGCAGAAGAGCACCATCAGTCTTATCGCTGCTATTTAGGCCGCCACAGTGGGTTGCTCGGATCCCAGCACTGGGAATCAATAAATCGGACGTCGACTCAGAAACCTAATTAGAAAGGCGGTTCATCTACAATGAAGGGAAAAAACAGCCTAAGAAGGCCGAGTATACTCAAAATCAGAACCCATCAGCAACAGAACAAGCCCTGATGGAAAAGGATTCATCAGCAACGGAACAAGCCCTGATGGAAAAGGACTCATCAGCAGCGGAACAAGCCCTGATGGAAAAGGACTCATCAGCAACCGAACAAGCCCTGATGGAAGAGGACTCATCAGTAACGGAACAAGCCCTGATGGAAAAGGACTGTGTTCCATTATCTGAAGTAGGCTTTAAAAGGTGGACGATGAGAAACTTCTGGGAGTTAAAGGAACTTGTTCTAACCCAATGTAAAGAAACTAAGAACTTTGAAAAAAGGTTCGATGAAATGATGAAAAGAATAGACAATATAGAGAGGAATACAAATGAACTTATGGAGTTGAAAAATACAACACGAGAACTTAGTGAAATATGTACAAGCTTGAATAGCCGAATGGATCAAGCAGAAGAAAGGATATCAGAGGTCGAAGACCAATTTAATGAAATAAAACAACAAGACAAGAATAGAGAAAAAAGGATAAAAAGGAATGAGCAAAGTCTCCAAGAAATATGGGACTATGTGAAAAGACCTAATATACGTTTGATTGGTGTACCTGAATGTGACGGAGAGAATGAATTCAAGCTGGAAAATATTCTTCAGGATATTATCCAGGAAAATTTTCCTAATTTAGCAAAGCAGGACACTATTCAACCCCAGGCAATACAGAGAACACCACAAAGATATTCCTCAAGAAGACCAACCTCAAGCACATGATCGTTAGATTCACCAGGATCAAAACGAAGGAGAAAATATTAAGGGCAGCCAGAGGGAAAGATCAGGTTACCCATAAAGGGAAGCCTATTAGGCTTACAGCAGATCTCTCAACGGAAACCCTACAAGCTAGAAGAGAGTGGGGGCCAATATTCAATATACTTAAAGAACAGAACTTTCAGCCCAGAATTTCATATCCTGCCAATTTAAGCTTTACAATTGAAGGAAAAATAAAATCTTTTAGGAACAAGCAAGTACTCAGAGATTTTATTACCACCAGGCCTGCTTTACAAGAACTTCTAAAAGAAGCATTATAGATAGAAAGGAACAACCAGTATGAGCCTTTCTAAAAATACACCAAAAACTAAAGAGCATTAACATAAAGAAGAATTTACATCAACGAAAGGATAAAAGAGCCAGTTAATATCAAATGGCAGTAATCCTAAATTTAAATCGACTAAATCCCCCAATCAAAAGATACAGACAAAATCTAACGGTATATCTAAAGATATACAAAGACTCAAAGGGTTGGAAAAAAAACCAATTAAATGGAGAGCAAAAATAAATAAATAAAAAGCAGGAGTTGCAATTCTCACAATTAATAAAATAGATTTCAAAGCTACAAGGATACAAGGGTAAAAGGATTAATGTAATAATAAGAGATCTGAACACCCAGATACATAAGACCCGTAATGAGATTTAGATTCAACGAGACAGAAAATTGATAACGATATCCAGGACTTGAACTCAGATCCAGAACAAATAAACTCAATAGAGCTCTCCATTTTAAACACACAAAATATACATTATCCACTTTAAACACACAAAATATTGATCGGCCATTATTGATACCCATTTTAGGAATGAAGTAATATTTCTTTTTCCCTCTTTTTCTTTAAAAAAATAAAAATAAAAATAAAAAACATTACTTGGGTGGCAAAAAAAAAAAACAACAATGACAAAAAAAAGGGAGGGAGGCGAGGAATTTGGACTGTGGACCTTTTGTTTACTTTTAGACCCTTTCTTGAAAGCTGCTGCCATAATCGTGATGCTCTCACATTTCACGGTTCAGTTCCTCCAGCGCACAAAGTTCCCTCCTACCTCAGGGCCTTTGTGCGTGCCACGCCCTCCACCTGGAATGCTCTCTCTGGATCTTCCTACGTTGGCTCTTCATCCCGTTCTCCCCTAAATGTCATCTTCCCTGAGAAGCCACGCCCTCACTCCCTCTCTCAAACTGCTGGGTTTTGTTTCTTGCCAGCATTGAACATTATCTGAAGCTGTTCTGTTGGCTTATTCCTGGATTTGCTCTAGTGTTTGTCTGAGCCCCTGGAGTGCGCCTCCAGGAAAGAAACCTCTTTTTTTTTTTTAATAGAAAAGGAGTTTCATCGTATTAGCCAGGATGGTCTTGATCTCCTGACCTTGTGATCCGCCTGCCTCAGCCTCCCAAAGTGCTGGGATCACAGGTGTGAGCCACGGCACCTTTTCGTGATCTGCAGTGCCCCGAGCTGTCCGCGTCCAGCGAGGGCACTCCATGGATACTCCCTGAAGGACAACGTCGATAAAGCTGTTCACTGTGGCGGCTGGTGACTTGCCAGCCGGGTTTAGATCTGTCGCCATTGAGGTTGCTTTTGGCTGAAAGTCCTGGAAAGCACCCAAGAGGTTTAACAATGAAGATATTTATTATTTCCATATAAGGGGAAGTCCTGAGATAGGACAGCTTCGGGGTTCTTCCTTTCCTTCTTTTTTGAGACAGGGTCTCACTATGTTGGTCATGTTGGTCTTGAACTACTGGCCTCAAGCAATACTTCCGCCTCGGCCTCCCAAAGTGCTGGGATTATAGGCATGAGCCACCGCACGTGGCCAGTTCTCAGGACATGAAGAGCCGGGTCCTCTGCATCTCTCTGCTCCAGCCTTTTCTGCAGTGCACACCTCAGCCAACAGCACACATTCAGGAAGCGTCTCTTCCTTGGTCCATTTTTATCAGCAATGAAACCTTTCCAAGAATTCCCCCAGCTCGCCCCCTCTCATCTTTTCGACCAGAATGTGCTCACATGTCCACCCCTAAGCCAATCGTAGGGAGAGGAACTGTATTACCGAGATGGCTCAGAATAATCAGGATTTCCTCCGGATGGGGGAACAAGGTCCCCTTCTTTGAGCATCTGTGGCTGTCGGGAAGCAGACAGACCCTTTGCCTTGAAGGAAGAAGGGGTGAGAGAGAATGAATTATGTAAAGGCAACCAGTGGTCTCTGTCATCACACTTGTTGAATTTCATCCTCACAAAACCCCCCGAGGTATCACCTGTCCCCATCGGCATGGATCTCATATTTGACCTCTGAGTGGATCATCTTTTTAATTTTTAAAAGGTTTTAATTTTTAGAATTTTTGAGGTACATAGTAGGTGTATATATTTATGGGGTACATGAGATGTTTTGCTCTGGGCATGCGATGTGTAATAATCACATCACGGAGAATGAGGCTTCCATCCCCTCCAGCATTCATCCTTTATGCTACAAACGATCCGATTCTACTCTTCGTTGTCTGACTTTGTACAATTGAGTTGTTACTGACTATAGTCACCCCGCTGTGTAATCAAACAGGTCTTAGTCATTCTTTTAAATGATTTCTTTTGTACCGATTAACCACTCCTGGCTTCCCCTTTCTAATAAATTAGAAAGAATTGTTTTTGAGACAGGGTCTCAAACTCCTGGGCTCAAGCGATCCTCCTGCCTCAGCCTCCACAAGTGCTGAGATTACAGGCGTGAGCCACCACGACCAGCCTGTTTATTCTTATATCCCTATTGTTTAGGAATAAAGAAAAAAAAGAGATATTTATTCAAATTCAGTAAAATATTGTATGTGTATCTGTGTGTGTCTCTGCATGTGTTTGTGTGTGAATGTGTGTGTGAATGTGTTTGTGTGTGTGAATGTGTTTGTGTGTGTGTGAATGTGTTTGTGTGTGTTAATGTGTTTGTGTGTGAATGTGTGTGTGAATGTGTTTGTGTGTGTGTGAATGTGTTTGTGTGTGTGTGAATGTGTTTGTGTGTGTTAATGTGTTTGTGTGTGAATGTGTGTGTAAATGTGTGTGTTAATGTGTTTGTGTGTGTGTGAATGTGTTTGTGTGTGTGAATGTGTTTGTGTGTGTGTTAATGTGTTTGTGTGTGTTAATGTGTTTGTGTTTGTGTGTGTGTGTGTGTGTGTTTGTGTAGGGGCATGTGGCATTCTCCGAACTGAACCCATGAGGAATACGATATTTATTAAAAGGAAAGCAATATGATTCTGCTAATTTGAAACTCACATATGTAGTATTAAAACGTAGCCACAGCACTGTTTAGTCCGAGGGTTGGCAAACTCTTTCTGTAAAGTGACAGATGACGATTTCAGGCTTTTTGCACTCCAGGACCTCTGTCAACATTACTCAGCTCTGCCATGGTAGCCTGGACACGGCCATAAACTATCTGAATAGGTGTGTCTGGGTTCCAATAAAACTTTATTTACAATGACAGGCTGGGGGTCAGGTTTGGCTTTTGGGCGGTAATTTGCCAACTCCTGGTTCAGACATAGGCCAATAAAAGCTTGTTTCGGGAGGAATGTCTTATTGCTGATGTTATTTAGAGTTACCGGCACACGGTGATAAGAAATAGCAGACTGACTCTGAATAGGCCGGGGGTGGTAGCCACCATTCCACCTTTGGTACACCTCTCATTCCCACTTTACAGGGGGGCCCAGGGCTCAGAGGGGCACCCAAGGTTCAGAGGGGATTCCTGTGGCTGAGACGGGCAGCAGGGGTTGAGAGGGACACCCAGGGCCTGGAGGAGGTGAACAATTTGTCTAGAAATCCAAGCTCTGTCGCCCAGAGTATGAATCTCCCAAGTGCCCTCTTGTGCAGCTCTGCGCCGCCTCCATGTGTGGCGCGGCACCCTTGCTGGGACAGCCCCTGGGTCTGAGTCTGCGCTGCTGGGGGCGGGGTGCGGGCTGGGGGAAGCTGACATGGTCTCCTGTCACACTCGCCAGCACCTTTCTCTCTCGGTCAGGATAGGGCGGAAAAGTTAGGAAGTCCCCAGGAGTGGGCTTGGCGGCAGCTTGGGGGCCCTGAGGCCCCTCACTTCCCCGTCTGGAGGCGCTGAGAACGCTCCGGAAGGCCCGGTGTTTCCTGGACCTGCTGTCCCCCTGAGCCTGCCCCACTCGCATCTTATCTCTGCCTCCCCGATTCTTGATCAAAGACAGAACAAAGCTGCTCCTCACGCACGGCTCAGCTCCCCTCTGGTCTTCTACCTGATTTCTTGACACCAAACGTGCACTTTGTGGGAGACTCCGCACCTCTGTCTGGCTCGGCGTTTTGTTGTGTGGGTTGTTTGTACGTCCTAATCCTTTCTAAGTGTACATTTCAGTGGCATGAAGGACATCCACATTGTTGAGTAACTATCACCACCACCCTTCTTGGCACCTTATCATCTTGCAAAACGGAAACTGCATACACACTGATCAAAAATTCCCCTTTCGCCTCTCCCCGCAGCCCCTGGCACCCACCATTCTTTCTGTCTCTGTGAATCTGGCTTCTCGAGGAGCTCACACAAATGGAATTGTTCAGTGTTTGTCCCGTTGTGGCTGGCTTCTTTCACTTAGCATAATGTCCTCACGGTCGGTGCGTGCTGCAGCGTGCATCAGAACGTCCTACCCTTTCCAGGATGAACCCTATTCCACGTGTGGGGGCCCCAGCTTATCCCCCATCACTCATCAGTGGACATGCTGGTTGCTCCCACCGTCTGGCCATCGTGAACAGCGCTGCAATGAAGGTGGTGGCCAGATTCCTCCTCGAGACCCCAGCTTCATTTCTTTTATACCCAGAAGTGAGATTGCTGCGTCACATGGTAATTCTATGTTAAATTTTTTTGATACAGAGTCTTGCTGTCACCCAGGTTGGAGTGCACTGTCATGATCTCGGCTCACTGCAACCTCTACCCCACCAGGTTCAAGCAATTCACTTATTCCACACCTCTCTGAGATGGGTCTTATTAGCCCCATTTTATAGAAGGGGCAATTGAGGCCCAGACAGGCTTTGAACCTGGACTGTCTGGCTCCAGACTTGCTGTTTCTTTGTTTCTTTTTTGAGATAGAGTCTTACTCTGTTGCCCAGGCTGGAGTGCAATGGCACGCTCTCGGCCCACCACAGTCTCTGCCTCCCGGGTTCAAGCAATTCTCCTGCCTCAGCCTCCCAAGTAGCTGGGATTAGAGGTGTGCACCACCACGCCCAGCTAATTTTTGTATTTTTAAGTAGAGATCGGGTTTCACCATGTTGGTCAGGCTGGTCTCAAACTCCTGACCTTGTGATCCGCCCACCTCAGCCTTCCAAAGTGCTGGGATTACAGGCATGAGCCACAGCACCCGGCTCAGACTTGCTGTTTTTAACTATTAGTTAGTTAAAACTAGTAGTCTTCTGCTGGGCAGGGTGGCTCACACTGTAATTTCCAGCACTTTGGGAGGCTGAGGTGGGCGGATCAGGAGGTCAGGAATTTGAGACCAGCCTGACCAACATGTTGAAAACCTGTCTCCACTAAAAATACAAAAATTAGCTGGGCATGGTGGCAGGTACCTGTAACCCCAGTGAACAGGCGCCTGTAATCCCAGCTACTTGGGAAGCTGAAGCAGGAGAATCACTTGAACCCAGGAGGCGTAGGTTGCAGTCAATCGAGATTGCGCCATTGCACTCCAGTCTGGGTGACAGAGTGAGACTCCATCTCACAAACAAACAAACAAACAAACAAACAAACAAACAGTCTTCTTCTTTTTTTTCTAAAGATAGTCTGCTTTCTTTCTTTCCTTTTTTTTTTTGAGACAGGGTTTCACTCTTGTTTCCCAGGCTGGAGTGCAGTGGCACGATCATGTCTCACTATAGCCTCTACTTCCTGGGCTCAAGTGATCCTCCTGCCTCAGCCTCCCAAGTAGCTGGGACTACAGGCACGTGCCACCATGCTCGGCTAATTTTTTGTATTTTTTAGTAGAGATGGGGTTTTGCCATGTTGCTCAGGCTGGTCTTGAACTCTTGACCTCAAGCCATCCTCCCACCTCCACCTCCCAAAGTGTTGGGATTACAGGAGTGAGCCACTGCGAGGGCCGTTAATTACCAGGCTTTCTTACCTCCAGGTTTCTACCCCAGCTGTTGGATGCCGCCTCTGAGCCTCTCTTTCTCTTCTCTAATTCCTTTCCCACCACAGAATCAGTTCCTGTAACAGTCTGAGCAGGAAGTGGAGAGTTTACTCAAAATTGGAGACTTTGAGGATATTTACAAAGGCGTAGGGAAAACAGAAGGGAGAGTGAAGCTGCTCCCACTCCTACAGCTGAGGGGAGGAGGGCAGGGTGTCACCTGGAACCTGGGAGGAGAGAGGTGTCTAGAGAGGGCTGCCTTCCAGGGACCGTGCCCTTTGCTCAAGAGCTGCAGCCAGCCTGGGTGTCACAGATCACCCCAACACGCAGTGGCTTGGAGGTGCTGTTAATGTTGGGACAGGAGGTATAAACTGGGGTGACTGCGCCGTCTAAGGTGCAGTGGTCTCTGATGATCTGTTCCTTGGGCAAACCGAGCAGCTCGCTGACACAGAGGCTTTGCACTGCTGGTTCATTTGCCAGAAATGTCCTCCCCAGCTCTTATCCTTCCGGTCTCACCCCCCAGCCCCCATCTCCCTGTGGCATTACCTTTTATATCTCTCATTAGCACTTAGCAGCATGTATAATCCTTGACTATTTATTTGCTCATAAATATATTTATACATATATACACACATATGTATATGTGTGTGTGTATACATATATATATATATATATATATATATATATATATATATATATGATATGATATGTATTTTAAATCTCTCTCTCTCCCTTACTAAAAAGTAAGGCCAGGGCAGACCAGACATGGTGGTTCACACCTATAATGTCAGCACTTTGGGAGGCTGAGGTGGGAGGATCACCTGAGTCCAGGAGTTTGAGACCAGCTTGGGCAACATAGTGGTACCCCATCTCTATCAAAAAAATAAGAATTGGCCAGGCGTGGTGGCTCACACCTGTAATCCAGCACTTTGGGAGGCCAAGGTGGGTGGATCATGAAGTCAGGAGTTCCAGACCTGCCTGATCAACATGGTGAAACCCTCGTCTCTACTAAAAACACAAAAATTAGCCGGGCGTGGTGGTGCACGCTTGTAATCCAAGGTACTCAGGAGGCTGAGGCAGGAGAATCGCTTGAACCCGGAGTCGGAGGCTGCAGTGAGCTGAGAACGCACCACTGCACTACAGCCTGGGCAACACAGAGTGAGACTCTGTCTCAAAAAAATAAAATAAAATATTAGTGTGGCTGGGTGTGGTGGCTCATGCCTGCATCCTAGCACTTTGGGAAGCTGAAGTGGGTGGATTATTTGAAGTCAGGAGTTGGAGATCAGGCTGGCCAACATGATGAAACTCCATCTCTACTAAAAACATACAAAAATTAGCTGAGTGTGGTGGCAGGCACCGATTGTCCCGGCTACTCAGGAGGCTGAGGCAGGAGAATTGCTTGAACCTGGGAGGCAGAGGCTGCAGTGAGCAGAGATCATGCTACTGCACTCCAGCCTGGGAGAAAGAACAAGACTCTGTCTCCAAAAAAAAAAAAAAAAAAAAAAAAATTAGCTGAGTATGGTGGCACACGCCCATAGGAGGCTGAGGTGGGGAGATGGCTTGAGCCCAGGGGGTGGAGGCTGCAGTGAGCTTTGCACTCCAGCCTGAATGACCAAGCCAGACTCTGTCTCAAAACAAAAAGTAAGGCCAAGGCAGAGAGGACCTGCCTTCCTTCTTCCCTGTCTCCCCTGAGGCCCTAGCACACAGTAGGTCTGATACATAGTGAGCGCTCAGCAAGTATTTGGCACACGAATGAATGAATGAAGGAATGAACGAACGAGCATGTCCATCCCTTCCCCGGCAGGTAGGACAGGACCAGGGGGTCTCAGAGGAGCCTTCTGCTTCCTGGGATAGGAATCACCCTCCTGTCTCCAGCTGCTGTTGGCAGTGGGAGCCAACAGACGCTTCTCTCCTTCTGTGACCTGGCCCGCGGAGCAGTGTCATTAGCTCGCAGCTGCCGGCTGGGTCTTCCCCACAAACTTGCACCTTTGTCCTGGAAAGCACGTCTGTGTTACAGGGTTAGCCCTTACCAGAGAGGACATATCAGAGTCCCTGAAGGCCAGGGACAAAGGTGAGGATCGATCGCCATCCCTGAGTCAGAGAGGAAAGACTCCTGCGGGGAAGTCAGTGGCCGGGGACTCAGAAAGGTTTGATTTTGCAGGAAGACGGGACTTACAGGGCATCGCAGTCTGTTCAGGCTTCTATAACAGAACACCATGGACTGGGGGAGCTTACAGACCACACACATCTATTTCTCACAGGTCCGGAGGCCGGGAAGTCCAAGATCAAGGCAGCTGGAAGGTCTGGTGGCGGTGAGGCCTTGTCTCCTGGTTCACAGATGGCAGCTTCTCTTTGCGTCTTTGCCTTGTGGAAGGGGAGATGCAGCTCTCTGGAGCCACATGTACAAGGGCCCTAATCCCATCGGTGAGGCCTCTGCCCTCAGGACCTTATCATGTTCCAAAGCCCCATTTCTTAATACCATCACATGTAATTAGGTTTCAACATACAAATTTCAGGGGACACATTCAGACTCTAACATGGGGGCTAACATCCAGGGCAGAGGCTAAGTTTCTGGAGGGGCTGTATGGGGGCTCTGGAGACCTTCTCTGATATTTGCAATAATGCACGGGGCATTTTGACCTGCTGAAAAGAAACAGCTCCTAAAAAGTCATTTGCAGCAACATAAGAGATTTGCATTCTAATTAAAATCTGTGCAGGTACCTTCTGCCTCAGAGCTTTTGCCCTGGCTGTTCCCTCTGCCTGGAATGCTGTTCCCGGATCTCAACGTGTTCCTGCACTTCCTGAAGGTCTTTGCTCAAATGTTGCCTTCTCACTGAGGCTGTCTCCAAACACCCATTTAAATGGCAACCCCTCTCCCCCAGTGGCATTTACACTGTTCCGTTTTCCCCCCAAAGCATGCATCATCCTCCAACAGCCCTGTCCCTTGGACTGCATCATACACAAAGCACACACGAAATTTAAAAAATTTTGTGGGGGAGCGCGGTGGTCCAGGCCTGTAATCCCAGCACTTTAGGAGGATCGCCTGAGCTCAGGAATTTGAGATCACCCAGGGCGACATGGTGAAACCTTGTCTCTACTAAAAATACAAAAAAATTAACCGGATGTGGTGGTGCATGCCTGTAGTCCCAGCTACTTGGGAGGCTGAGGCAGGAGAATCGCTTGAGCCCCAGAGGCGAAGGTTGCAGTGAGCTGAGTTCCCACCATTGCACTCCAGCTTGAGCTACAGAGTGAGACTAAAAAAAAAATAATAATAATAATGACAGAGGAACCTGTTCTGAAAAAAGAAAATAAGAAAAAAAAAATGAGGGGTCATATTTAAAAAGCAAAAAGAAACAAGTGAAATTAATTTAACTTGTATATGTCATTTAATCCTTGATATTCAAATAGTGTCATTTCAATGTGTAATCAATATAAGAATATTGAGATATTTTATGTTCTTTTCATAGTAAGCCTTTGAATCTGGGATGTATATGACACAGCATATCTCACGTCAGACTAGCCCCGTGTCAAGTGTCCCATAACCACGTAAGGCCAGTGGCTACCATATTGGACAGCACAACTCTAATATCTCACGTCAGACTAGCCCCGTGTCAAGTGTCCCATAACCACGTAAGGCCAGTGGCTACCGTATTGGACAGCACAGCTCTAATATCTCACGTCAGACTAGCCCCGTGTCAAGTGTCCCATAACCACGTAAGGCCAGTGGCTACCGTATTGGACAGCACAGCTCTAATATCTCACGTCAGACTAGCCCCGTGTCAGGTGTCCCATAACCACGTAAGGCCAGCGGCTACCGTATTGGACAGCACAGCTCTAATATCTCACGTCAGACTAGCCCCGTGTCAAGTGTCCCATAACCACGTAAGGCCAGTGGCTACTGTATTGGACAGCACAGCTCTAATATCTTTTTATTTTTGTTGTTGTTTTTGAGACGGAGTCTTGCCCTGTTCCCCAGGCTGAAGTGCGGTGGCACCATCTCAGCTCACTGCAGTCTCTGCCTCCTGGGTTCTAGCGATTCTCCTGCCTCAGCCACCAGAGTAGCTAGGATTACAGGTGCCCATCACCATGTCCAGCTAATTTTTGTATTTTCAGTAAAGATGGGGTTTCACCATGTTGGTCAGGCTGGTCTTGAACGCCTGACCTTAGGTGATCCACCCGCCTCAGCCTCCCAAAGCGTTGGGATTACAGGTGTGAGCCACCACGGCCAGCCTTGTTTTGTTTTTTGAGATGGAGTCTTGCTCTGTTGCCCAGGCTAGAGTGCAGTGGTGCCATCTTGGCTTACTGCAACCTCTGCCTCCTGAGCTTAAGTGATTCTCCCATCTTAGCCTCCCAAATTGTCTGGGACTACGGGTGCGTGCCACCATGCCCAGCTCATTTTTTTGGTATTTATTGTAGAGATGGGGTTTTGCTGTGTTGTGTAGGCTGGTCTTGAACTCCTGAGCTCAAGCAGAGCACCTGCCTCAGCCTCCTAAAGTGCTAGGATGTCAGGTGTGAGCCACTGTGCTGGCCCACAGCGCTAATGTTTGATGAAATTCACCATTGATGATGTGTATAATTTAATGTTATTACTTGTCTATTGACACACAGGGCCTGGATGGCCAGGGGCTTGTTTATGGTCCCCGATGGCTCCTCAAGCCCCCAACACAGTGCCCAGCACAGAGTGGGAGCTCAATGTTGACTGAATGAATCCAGCAGGCACACGTGAGCTCTCTTTCCTCCATCACCGGCAGCGAGCCACATGGCAGATGTGGCTAAAATAGTTTCCTGACTGGGCGAGGTGGCTCACGCCTGTAATCCCAGCATTTTGCGAGGCCGAGGCAGGTGGATCGCCCGAGGTCAGGAGTTCAAGACCAGCCTGGCCAACATGGTGAAACCCCATCTCTACAAAAATAAAAAAATTAGCCGGGCATGATGACAGGTGACTGTAATCCCAGCTACCCAGGATGCTGGGTGGGAGAGTTGTTTGAATCCCGGAGAAGGTTGCAGTGAGCCGAGGTCACGCCATTGCACTCCAGCCTGGGGGACAGAGTGAGACTCCATCTCAAACAAAACTCCAAAAAAACCCAAAA